TATGTGTGTGTGTGTGTGTGTGTGTGTGTGTGTGTGTGTGTGTGTTTTAATAGCATGGACGGGGGAAAAATAGGTGGAAGAGTTGTGTCATAAATTGTATAATTTAAAGAGCCGAAAGGAGAAAGGAAAGATGGTGTAAAGTGGTGTTACATTTTTTTCTGTACAATCTATGAAGTTTGACATAAGAGAAATGCCTGTTTGATTATAACTCTTATTTTCAAAGAAATATGTTCTCAAATAGTGCACCAACAGAAAGCTTATAACCTCAGCTGCACGTTGTTATTTTTAATTTTTGACAGTCTTCGATGGGATCCGCACAAATTCACCAACGTCGAACTAGTGAAGAAATCAGCTGACTTTTGTCTACACCACAACCGGACGTGGCGGTTTTACAACGGAATTCTTTTAATTATGGTTCCCAGGCATTTCTTCACCTGTGAGAAAAGGAATACGACCCAAGGAATAGGATCAGAATTGAGTTTCGGAAAAGTACCTTCATTGCGTCTTGCATCTGCTGACTTGTGTCGAGGCGCGCATTGTTTTGCTGCAGTATAGCACTCTGCAGTATAGCACTCTTTTCCAGAGTGTCTCAACCTGGCTTACAGCTTACCTAAAATTGCATCATATTGTTCTGTTCTGATTTCTCTTTTGTTTTACCCAATTGCAAACACTTCATGTGAAATTTTCGTTAACTTATCTTGATTGACTGAATTCGAGGCATTCTGCAGATTGTTTGGTCTCAATGCTTTCAGTATGAATGACGTCATAAAGAATTGTAATTTTTTTACAGTGGTAGAAAGTGTAGGAGTTTTCGTTATTCTACATAATGAGTAATACGTTGTGGTATCACACGCATTACTTTTCAGCCCACCTTCTTTATACTGATTGAGCAAAGGTAGACTTTTTCTGCTCACTAATTGGAGTAGAACGTGTCCCGTGGTGAGTCATTCCTTTCTATTGATTTTGATATAGTTTTGTTGCTCTTAGTTACTGTGGGCCTTCCATTGTTTATAACTGAATAAAACAAAGGGGAAACCCTAACACCCCCACCCCCACCCCCAC